CACTTTGGAGAAAACTGGAACCCTTATTCAGCCGTAATAAAAAAAGTTTTACGCTTCAAAAGAGGACAAAGAAATTGCGCTTGCATCAGAGGGCAAATCCTGCCGACCGGAAAACAAAAACTACAGTCAATCGATATGTATGTCATGACCTCTCAGTGTGAAACATGCGGCTAAAATAACATTTGCTCAGTATAAATGCAGAACCTTCCAGAGCATAATCTACCCAGCAGATAAAAACAACTTTATTGGAATAAGCAGCATTTTGGCGTGAGGTAAAAACCACCTTCTTTTATTGCTAAGTTACATCGGCGAATGTTATCGTTCGATAAATTGGCTAAATCTTTCGCTGGGTAGCCCAACAATTCCATCTCCTGCAACTGGTCTTCGATAATACTTTTCATTGGCGAAATGACGAGAATCGCCGCATTACCATCTAGCTCGTAGTTCTTCGCGCGTACAAACATTTGGTAAATTAAACTCTTGCCGTATCCGGTCCGCAAAACTGCCAGAACATCTCTGTCGGCTAAAAGATCCCTTACTGCTGATTCTTGCTCTGGTTTTAAAACAGTTTCTCTACCACTAGATAAATTCACATCTCTCAAAGCACTCTCTACGACATCCACGTCTACCGCTGCCATCTCGACTGTTTATTGATTTGTGAAATGCGCATTTCAATATGTTACTCATTACCGCTCAGCCAATCAGGAATTTGCGGACGCCAGCGCCCGCAGATATGAACAAAAGGGGGTTCTTAGAGCAGGCGTCCCCTCCCCCTCTCCCCAATCCCCCTCCCCTTTTTTCCTTCCTCCCTATCCCCTACCCCCTACCCCTTTCGACGCCTGCTACGCAGGCTAACACATAACCTACTACAGTACTACAAGGTAGGAGATCAAGCCAGCGTCGAAGTTGAAGGAGTCGAAGAGCAAATGCTCATCTTCTTGTCAAGTTTAACGCCTGGACGGGTCAAAGGCTTTTGAATCGTACTAATTTGAAAGATTCCTCACGTCTTAAATTTGGTAAGACCTCTATCCTAACCGTGCTGTAACGCACGATGCACGCTCACAGCGAGGAATTTGATGCTACCGAACTTCGGCGAGCGCGTGCTTCTTTGGAAATGATAGATCTTCGCGCTCTCGAGTTCGGACCCGATTAATTACGAAGTGCGTCTACTACGAGTGAGTGAGTGACTCATTTGCATATCTCAGTCCCTGCAATAACTCGTGATACGCTCGCGCGTACCCACGAGTTAAAAACCACACAGTATTTTCAAACTAAATTTATTTTTTCGGAGAAATCAGTGAATGCCAAAACTATTGATATTATTAAACAAAAACTACTATTAAACTAATAAAATTTAAAGAAATTTTTTTCTCTCAAAGTTGTTGTCTGAGCCCAATACAAAAAATAACAGAAATGCTTTTTATTTGACCAAGTAACATACATCTGTGACAACAAAACCAATCAGTTCCAAAAGGACACACACAAAATTTGATGTTACGTTTGTCATACTTCATGGATGTTACCTTCATGGAAGTGACTTCATAACAACAATAAAATAATGCACGAAGCTCACTAATGATTGCCAAAAAAGCCTGGTTCTAATATAATTTGTTATACAACAATAAGAATGTATATTCAGCATTGCTGAATATTATTATGGAGTTAAAAAGAGCACTTAGAACCTTATTGGAGACAATAGTGAATTATTATAAAGACACCATTATTAACAATATACAATAGTAAACGAAAATGTCCAGTGTAAGTTATTTCTGACTTCTTTTAAAGCATCATATCAAAATTAATGGTCAATGTAGCTCTGTGGAAACTTCTAAATTGCTTACAGTGTCTAAAGTTTGAGAATAAAAATAAATTATACAAGCGGTATCTTTCAAATCCTTCTCCTCAGAAGGAAGTGATATATAAAACATATTTTAAGAACAAATTAAATCACTCCTTACGAATTGCGAAACGCTTATATTACAATAAGAAGTTAAACGAGTCAAAATCTGATATGAGAGCCACCTGGCGTGTGCTTAATGAGGTTCTAAATAACAAGAAATTGAGACCCAAACCCAACTCTCTTTTCAAGGTTGATGACCAAGAAATTTCTGACCCAATGAAGATTGCAAATCGATTTTATTATTACTTCAGTAATATTGGACCAAACCTTGCCAAACAGATTCAATCTGCCACTTCGCATGAAAATTTTCTTTTTGGCGATTTCCCTCAGTCTATGTTCCTAAATTTAGCAACTCAGGAGGACATTGTAGATATTGCATGTACGTTTCCGGAGGGGAAAATCGGCAGGGTATGACAACATTCCCATGTCTATTATAAAACGATCTATTGGCAGCATTTCCTCTCCATTAACTCACATTATAAATCTCTCTATTATCCACGGTATCGTTCCAGATGAATTGAAAATTTCTTTTGTGGTTCCTATTTTTAAATCAGGTGACAAAGCTCTCTTCAGTAATTAGACCTATTTTAGTTCTATCTT